AAGCATGCAAAACAGACTAATGTCCCTACAAGCATGCCTGCCAGTACTGCAAAGAACAACACCCCCGGTTTAAATGCCCAAAACTCCCCCCTCCCCCCAAACGATGAATGACAGTCTTGTAAAGCTTCCAACTCCGGTAAAACCAGAAATGCTTAAAAATTTCTTGAAAGGATACGATTCCTTCCTTTCAGATTTAATCATATCGGGCTTCACCAGTGGTTTTAGATTAGGCTGCCTAGGTACCCATACATCTCAACCTTCTCCAAATCATGGATCCACTAACAAACATCCTGAAGTTGCTCTTGACAAAATTCGTAAAGAACAAAAATGGGTAGGATTTCAGAGCCCTTCCCTTATCCTAAATTTGAAAACTTAGTTATCTCTCCACTGGGTGTTGTTCCAAAAAAGTGGAAGGCCAATTTCGTCTAATTCATGACTTGTCCTACCCAGAAAACAACTCAGTTAATTTTCAAATCCCTCCAGAGAATAGTCAGGTTTCTTATGACTCCATAGACACTATAATTTCACTAGTGAATTCGGTACTGCAGCCCTAATGGCTAAATGTGATATTGAGGATGGTTTCCGCAATATCCCAATCCACCCTAATGACGTCCATTTATGACAAATGCCTCTCTAAGAGCGCTAGTAGCTCCTGTCAAATTTTTGAAACACCCAGCACTGTGATACAGTGGATCATTCTCAACAAATTCTCAGCGAAAGGTATGACCCACATGATTGACGATTTTTTCTTCATAGATCCCCATGCTTCCCATAGCTGCTTAACAGACTTGAACAATTTTATATCCCTTTGTGACAATATTGGAATCCCTTTGAATCCCAACAAAATCCGTCTACCCAACACAAATATTATCATTTATGGTATTGAGGTGGGTTCCATTGCCATAGAATGTCGTTTACCAGATGACAAAATTTTCAAAATCAAAGCTCAGTTGTCCAAAATTTACCTGCGGAAAAAGATCACTACGCAAATTGCAATCCCTCACTGGGTTGCTCAATTTTGCCTGCTCAGTGATTTCTCCAGGGCGTGCCTTCTTGCGTAGGCTAATTGGCCTGTCCTGTAAGGTCTCGAACCCCAGACATTATATCGGTCCGGTCTTACATGTGAAGCTCGAGCTGACATACAATGTTGGTTTCAGTTCATTTCACACTTTAATGGCAAGTCATTTTTTCTCAATGACAATTGGTCCTCTTCTGACCACGTCACCCTTTACACTGATGCTGCATCTAGACAGGGTTTCGCTGCCATTTTAGGGGCGTCTTGGTTTGCAGCCAAATGGCCTGATGAATTCAAACATTTGCACATTACATTCCAATTGGACTTTTTTGGTATTGTCAGAGTACTTGTGTGTACAATCAGATTGTTTTTTAACCAAGTGATTTTGCAAATGACCAATGACAAGGAAAGTAAATTTACGAGTTCCATTTTTATTGAAAAAGCAGCTGTCAAGAAAGTCTGAACTTTCTTTTGTGATTTCAAATTTTCCAAAAGTTTCTTGGAATTTTTTTAGTATCCACATCTAATTCACACCACTTCTTGAAAATATTGTTGCACAGTACTCTTAAAGTTTCTCCTTCACTACTGTTAATATCTTAGTGAGGAGTAAAGAAAGAGGCTTGGTTGAACATTTACTGGAACCCGCTATGTATCTTTGTAAGGATTTTTATGAAGTTTCGGAATCCAATATAGATATGGTTATTCAAATATTCATTTTAGTTGTAGGGAATATTAAAAATATTCAAAACTGACATATGATTTTGAAGAATTTCCTCCTTAGAAAGGGAGATATGGGTATAAGTTGGATTACCACTTATAGAATTGAATCCCAGTTCCTCTAAAATACAATTTATATAATGAGCCTTACAAAGAAAATGTTGTTACCTGCTTTGTCAGCAGTATAGTGTAATCTATCTAATTCTTTTTTTCACTTCTGAATTATTGAATACAGAAGGATAGATGGTTTCCATACCGCCCCTCAATCGCTTAATGCGAGAATTTAACATACATTTGATACATTTAATGCATTCTGACAAAGTGTCAAGGTTTTCTTTTTCATGTCTGACCCAAAGCCTGGCGTAATCCTCAACAGAATCCATAATATGTATGAAATTACGACGCCAGTTAAAGGATCGGGATTCCCTATATTTAGGACCTTTTAAAATTAGTGATCTGAGGTCCTCATTATTAACTATATTAACATCACCAGTAATAACGTGTCCAGCAGGACTATAGTTATAGGGTGAAGAACATGAACACGAAGGAGTTTATTTTTCAGATATTCGATATCCAGGCCCTGTAGTTTTCTTGTAATTAAAAAGTTTGGAAGCAATTGTCGATGCATTTTTGTAGGAAATACAAGGTGTAGTCTTTAACTTGAAATATGGTGGAATACAAGACTGGACCCTTTTGTCATTAAGAATATCACTTATATTAACGGCGTCAATTCCTTTGCTGGCATATTGGAGTTTAAGGGAAAAAAACGGGTTGTTTTAGGTGCATTTTCTTCTGTAAAACGTGGCGGTTTAAAAAGCCTATGATTTGCACAGAAAATCCGAGCCTGTATTCTGGTGTCGATGAATCAAAAAATGGACTCTCCTTGACTTTTCAAGTAGGCTATTCAAAATTTCAAAGGGACAGTGTAAAGTTTGGTGCGAATGTGATGAAGACCTATATGTAGATTTACATAAGGTAGTAACGAATCAAAAGAGACATCGTGTATTAAAGGTTTATTGTAAGACCGATGCCCATGACTACCGTTACGTCTCCTTGTATGGTTGAAAAGTCCCATCACATTGACATCGTTACACTATGGACTAGGAAGATTCCCAACACGATCGACATTGTCCTTGCATCCATAGGGAAAGGCCGTCCCTAGTTTTCTAATCCAACATTCTTCTCGTTGTCTACGGAAAGGTGTCCTCAGTGATGGACTGTTTGTATGATGGTAAATCTTTTCTAGAATTCTAAATTTCATTGACAAAATTGAATGATCAGTAAATTAAAGTGCTTGTAGAGAAGCTGCTGGTCCCCGTTGTTAATTTGAAAGCTGTGACCCGATATCCTTTTATGAAGTGAACGCTTGGTTTCACCAACATAAATAAGTCCACAAAGATTACAGTCTATTCCGTAGACAACATTAGAAGATTTGCAGTTCAGATTTTCCCAAGATTTGGTACAGAAGCTCTGTCCAGTAAGACTACTAGTGAAAGAAGTGTCAAAATGTCACAGGTTTTACAGTTTTTCGCAGAACATTTTGAAAAAGACGACATGGGATCGAAAAAGGAATCTTCAAATATGTCTCTTAAAGAAACTTTGTTTCATGGATTACAAAGGATGATGTGCCATACGGCCCCCGGTAAATTGACGAAAAATAAAATATCTAAATTTTACTCTAATTTTTGTATCCACTTAATCACTGATATGTGTACCGTCATGGAATACTATTTTTATCGAAAATAGAAACATAATTTAGAAGATATTAATCTTTATTTTGAGTAGGGGTACCATGTTTACATCCAATTTCCATTGAATTTTGGCCCCGCCCCACTCTTTGAAGCCCTTAAAATATACGAGCGCATGCGAGTAGGTACATTTTTCTCCTTTGTATGGTCGCTGTATTTTATTGTAATCTACCTATATGTGAAAGTTGAAATCTACCTATATGTGAAAGGAGAAAATTGTACCTAACTGCGCTCAAATGTTTTTAAAACATTGTAAAATCTGGCTGGTCTTCCGCATTACGAACAGATCTTTTTCTCATAAGAATAAATTCATATGCTAATCGAGGCACCGGCATGTTTTTTCTAACCGACCAATCAGCTAAATGAGATGTATTACGAGTGAGTACTACAAAAATTCTAAGGAAATTTAATGCTTGAAAAAAAAAAGGCATAATTCTTTTCTTGTTTTCCGATAATTTTTTTTTATTCATTTGAGTCACAGATTAGACACTAATTTATAATTTCCGTGCTCAAAATTACAAACAATATATATATATATATATATATATATATATATATATATATATATATATATATATATATATATATATATATATATATATATATATATATATTTATAAATATACATTGTATAATTTCATAGTTTTGTAAAGCGTCGTTGGGCAATTGGCTACAATTATTCCCGAGAATCAGTGAATACACGTTTCATTGTGAATTTCTCGACCCAAAATGGTAAACACTGAGGTTCCATACGTATTATCATGTGTAAAAAGCCTTTGCTGACCACTAAAAGTTTGAAATGTAGTCACTGTGGAGATAATGTATAAACTGACCTAAGCCACGTGTCTGTGTTAAAATGTAAACATGTAGTAAACCAGCATGTTTTGTCGTTCAGTCATCGTATTGGACAATTGTTCTCGGTAAGCGACAATGTGGGAAATAATAACAATAGCCATATAAGGTAGATTCCTCGGACATGCATACCCCTCTATTGTACTAAGATCCGCCTATTCTCTTTTCATAAAAGATCCTATTGTCACAAACCAGGCCGAATTTTGCTCGCATGGGGTCTAAAAAATCATAGATAATGAAATAATCCTCATAATTAAAATGTGTTGGAACTATTGAAACTATTCAAAAGACGTCGTATTTATTCACTTTTGTTTGAAAACTATCAAAATCGTTGTAGAATAAATATTATTCGCCCTAGAAAAAGGGGCCCCAGAAAGTAGTTTTGGCACATCATCCTTTCGTCATTTAAATAAATGTTAATTTTTTTTTTTTACACTTAATATGTTTTCTGTTATGAATTTTGGAAACAAACAGAGCTACCGGTACTCTGTTGCCTTGGACTACCACTAAGGTTTTAACATAAATACTTTTATTAATTTCAATCCCGATTAATCAGACTCACAGCGATGAATTCTGAACCCGATGAAAATGGACTCCCTCAGTCTGACAACGGTTATTTATGTGACAGTTTCCCCCAAATAAACAAACAATTAAGAATTTTAGCATTCTGAACCTTTTATTCACACATTTTTACAACATCTAAATGTGTCACAAAAATAATGATATAACGTGAAAAATTGAAGCAAACAATTTTTCAAGTATTGATGGAATTTGATGCATTAATAATATTATCCATTTTTTCTACAGTGACTACATGTATAAGTCAAGATCAAGACACACGCTCAGGTCAAAAGCAATCTTCATGTGAAATGGAAACTCCGAACATCCCAACATAATTCTCCATAAGAAAGATACGGACCCGACATGGATTATGAACTTTTTCTGTCAGTGCCTTGAACTTGCAGAAATGACCTTGGATCAAGGTCATCACACACCCTCAGGTCATAAGCAATCTTTGTGTAAATAGGAACTCACAAAGTTTACCCATAAGAAAGATACAGACAAGAATTATGAACTTTTCCGTTCAGTAACCTTGAACTTGTCCAAATGACCTTGGGTCAAGGTCATGATACACCCTCATGTCATGAGCAATCTTTGTGTGAAGCAGTAGATTCTAATGTTCCTCCGTAAGAAAGATATGGACCGGCCACGTTTGCACAGACAGGCAGACAGACGGACAAGATGATTCCTCTATATCCCTATATCCCCCAAATTTTTTTTCCCGGGGGGGGGGGGGGGGGGGGTGGGGTATAATAACTTAATCTATACCAAATTAATTTTGAAAATAAAAGGCTGGCCATCAAGTGACATAATGCTATACACTGCAATCAAGAAAGAGGGCAGTTCTGCCCAATTCCAAAAGGATCAAGCAGGTTATCTGTATGATAAAACCTGCTTGATCAGAGATGCTCTAACAGAAATGATTAAGACAGCTAGCCTTCCTACATTGAACTCATTAATCAATCTTTTACCGAATGCATGTTAACTCATTACTTCCAAGGGATAAATGGATTTGCACAATCTGCTTTGTAGTCTTTAGTACAATAACAATGCATATTTATGTCATTCTGTTGGAAACAATTTTTTTTTTAATTTGTTACAAAGCTTTATATGATGAAAAATAAAATTGTGTAATCTTGACTCATTTTTTAAAAAATAAGGTTACAGCATGACTCTTAGATTTGTTGACCATACAACTGTTTTTAATACTTGGTGTTATTTTTTAAAAAAATTTAATGACTGGTCTTAAGCTGAAGTTACATTTTAGTACAGATGTACCAACTGGCAGTTCTAGATTCTAAGTCTCAAACCTACATGAGTCCAATATGACTATGTCAATAAAATGAAAAAAAAAAAACAAACATGAAAATGCAGAAAAATTATCAAATCAAGATGAAAATACCAGGTGCACATCTTTATATGGTGAATAATGAGTGAATAATTTTTAGTCAAATCCAAGCAATAGTCTCCGGGAAGAGGTTTGGACAAAATCACGTAAGAAATATTAAAAAACACCTGTAAAATGCAGAAAAATTATTCAATCAGGATGAAAATACCAGGTACATATCTTTATATGATGGATAATGAGTGCACAAATTTTCAGACAAATCCATTCAATAATCTTTGAAAACAGGTCAGGACGAAATCCCGTCTACAGACAGATGGACACGCTGATTCCAATATATCCCCCTAAACTTGCGGGAGTATAAAAAGGAAGGATGGCTTGGTGGGATATATGTACCAGAATGTAACACGTTTAGTACCATAACACCTAAAGAGTTCTTGAAAATTTCTATACGAAAGCCAGGAACCTTGCCAATGTCTTAAAGCCTTCATCTCAGGTGAACTGAACAAAAGCAATCTTAAGAATTTAAAGCAACTATTTATACACGGAATATAAACTGAACTTCAGTACTTTCACTTTTTGCATCACCTTCAACAGTGCATTCCTGTACAATGTTTTTTTCCTTCATTCCACACACTTTACTCTCATCACAATAAAACACTTTGCATTTTAGGTAAATAAAAAAGGTAGATTTCATGGTATTTGGTACTTTCCAAGAAAACAGATGTTGTGGAGATTTTCCGGACAGTGTTCCTTTTTTTGAAAAAAAGCTGTTACCTGAGGCTTCAGATGGAGAACCTGGAAAAAGAAAGAAGATAACTATTTTGCTTGATATTAGTTTCACTTTTTCCAAGTTGAAAAGATGCATATATTTTTGAGGCTTGCCGATAGAATATTCACCATTTCAGGGATGAAGAAAAGCTGCAATATAGTAGCCCTCTCCAGATTTTTTTGTGTTCGGAAGCAACTCCTTAGGATCTCCATAATTGTGCAAGTGAAGGAGTGATTCACTCCCGCACACATTTTGATTCAATTCATCAGTAAGTGGCCATGTTATTAATATTTTTTAACCTGAACTCAAAAAATGTAGTTATATGCAGGGCATGAATTGATCCAAAAATATACAAAATAATCCAAAGATCGGTTATTTTTCTGTATGTCAACATCACAACTTGAATTTATCTGACAGATCTACTGACCTTGATCATTTTTATTTTGGGACAGCCAATGAGAATTCAGGATCTACGGAGTGAATCTTTTTAGGAATTCCTTTATTTAAGGCATAAATGTTGCTCTTTATGAAAATATTTCACATATATAGAATGCTTTTATTTCTCGATGTTTAGTGATACCATACAACACAATCATTTATCAACACCGGTACCTACATTTACTTTGTCAAGCATTTATAAATTTCAAGCTTAAGTTGCAGTACATCTCGCGAGAACTGTCAAGGCTACTGAGGAAGACCATTGGTTTACGTGCTGCATGTTTTAGCGTAGCTAGGTTGTTGATATTAAATAAAAAAAATCAATCTTATTGGAAGAAATTTGAACGCCAAATGCAATTTATTTTGCATCATCACAGAGATACTATGGAATTGTAGCCCTCTCCTGAAAACATCAGAAAAAAAATAATCGAGAGGGCTAGATGAAGAAAATAGGGTGATTCACTCCCGCACACATTTTGGCTCAATTCATCAGTAAGTGGTATGTTATAAATATTTCTTAATCTGAACCCCAAAAATGTAGTTATACGCAAGGCATGAATTGATCCAAAATATACAAAATAATCCATAGATCGGTTATTTTTTGTGCATGTCAACATCACAACTTGAATTTATCTGACAGATTTACTGACCTTGATCATTTTTATTTTGGGACAGCCAATGAGAATTCAGGATCTACGGAGTGAATCTATTTAGGAATTCCCTTAAGTATAAATGTTTCTCTTTATAAAAAATATTTCACATATATAGAATGCTTTTATTTCTCAATATTAAGTGATACCATACAACACAATCATTTAGCAACACCTACATTTACTTTGTCAAGCATTTATAAATTTCAAGCTTAAGTCGCAGTACATCACGCGAGAACTGTCAAGGCTACTGAGGAAGACCATTGGTTGACACGTTGCATGTTTTAGCGTAGGTAGGTTGTTGATATTGAATCAAAAAATTAATCTTATTAGAAGGATTTTGAACGCCAAAAGCAATTTATTTTGCGCCATCACAGAGATCCTATGGAATTGTAGCCCTCTCCCGAAAACATCAGAAAACAAGAGGCCCATGGGCCACATCGCTCACCTGAGCACATTGGCTAGGCAAAAGCACAAATCAGTTCAGTATTGAAAAGATTACCCGGGGGGGGGGGGGGGGGCTTGAATTTTAAACTACCTGATGATGCTTCCTTGTCAATATAACAAATGGCTTTGTTGTACTTGAGAAGATTTTAAAAATAAATTCCCCTATATTCCTTTGTAAAAATTTGATCCCCCATTGTGGTTCCTCCCTATCCCAGGGGTCATCATTTGAACTTGAATCTACACTACCTGAGGATGCTTCCATATCAATATGACTAAACATAGCTTTCCTGTTCTTGAGAAGAAATATTTTTTCTATATGTTCTTATGTAAAACTTTCGATTCCCCAATGGGCCCCACCCAACCCCTGGGGGTCATCATTTGAACAAAATTTTATCTACACTATCTGAGGATGCTTCCATATCAAAATGACTAATCATGGTTTGCAGTTCTTCAAAAGAAGAAATTTTCCTATATATTTCTATTTAAGACTTTGATCCTCCATTGTGGCCCCATCCTACCCACGGGGGTCATGATTTGAACAAAAGAGAATCTACACTACCTGAGGATGCTTCCACATAAATATGATCAATCAGGGCTTTGCTGTTCCTGAGAAGAAGATTTTTAAAATTTTTCCTATACATTTCTATGTAAAACTTTGATCCTCCATTGTGGCCCCATCCTACCCCCGGGGGTCATGATCTGAATAAATTTGAATCTACCCTACCTGAGGATGCTTCCATATAAATATGAACAATCTGGCCTTTGCTGTTCCTGAGAAGAAGATTTTTCCTATATATTTCTATGTAAAACTTTGATTCTCCATTGTGGCCCCGCCCTACCCCCGGGGGTCATGGTTTAAACAAACTTGAATCTACACTACCTGAGGATGCTTCCATATAAATATGACTCATCATGACTTTGCTGTGCTTGAGAAGAAGATTTTTAAATATTTTTCCTATTTATTTCTATGTAAAACTTTGATCCTCCATTG